CAACAGCAGGTTTTCTTCAGTAAACTTCGTGTCCTCTGTCTCCGCTCTCCTTACAGCCAATCACGCTGTTTTATGTCCAGTTTTTGTTTTAGTTTGGTGCATAAAAAATCATCCTTCTCTAGGTCCGTTAAAGTTTTTAAAAGCAAACATTGAATGTTTATTTGATAAGGATCTTATTAAAGAAATATTGGTACTTTTTCACAGAGAATTAAATATTTATAGGGAGAGGATTCTACAACTCGTTTAGTTATTTTGAGCATGCAGACTATTTTATCTTCATTTAGTGATATTTACAGTACAGGAAGAACTACTGAAATTATTTTCAAATTGCAAACAAATAGATTCATCAATTCCACCGCGGAAAAGGAATTAGCTTAGAGTTATGATTCACTCGATGATAACAACCTGATGAGCCTGCTGGCACAATCTGAAGCCATTCTATTAGCCTTATAGCCACTAATTACAAGCATTTATGCAATGCTAACATCCAAAGCAAACAGCCACTTAGTATTTACTGTGTAAAAGAAGAGAATCAAACTGTAGAGGAACCCCATGAGATGATGAACAGCTCATATCTCATAGAACATTTTTATTATTCATCTTCACCTGCTGCCAGAAGATTTCACCTAAATAGATACATTGATCTACTACCATTCATGAAATAAACACGTAATGTTATCATGGTCACAACAGACTATGGCAAGCTATTTTGATATGTACTAGTTTTACTGAATCCTGATATTTGAAAAAAACATTGTTTCTTTGTCTAAATGACCATTTCAAACAAAATGACATTCTACACATCTAGAATAAACATTCTGCATCTCTATTAATTAATTTCAGTTATCCATATTCCTATTGTTACTGGTCAGCATTTGTATTATTTTTGTATAAATGAATTTCAGATATCATAAATACATTTTGAGTCAAGCTGATAAATGTCAGAACGGTCACTTAAAATGTGTTAACATTCTTACTAGTATAATTTCTTTTCCTTTTTTTTACTTTCTGAAATTCGGTTTCTGCTGCAAACGTGATTTAGAAAATATATTAATATATTTTAGTCTAGGAGTCTTATTTTGATCAGGGAGAATCTTTTAGTGATCTACAAATGGAACAACAGAGTGTGCTTTTAATAAATGTACAAACGGCCTGCCATAGACCACTTCATATAAACTTATGCATTAACAGGAGCAGCAACCTTCTTCTTTGCAATCTTTCTCTTCTTTATTGCTGTAGCGCTGTTTCTTTGTCTTTTAAACACATTAACCTCTTTTTCCATTTCTTCATTAAAACCTCTAGTTCCAGTGGGGTGAAATAGGCACTTCCTGTTGCCTGTTGTCATGGTGACTCATAGATTCATGGCTCCACTGATAATGGCTTATCAGACTAGTTCTGCATGTGCTAAACTCCTAGTGGACCTACTTAGAGTTGATTGAACTAATTTTGATTAAGAATAGTTAGTTTTGATTAAGAATAAAAAAATACATTCAAAGTTGTTTCCTGATATGGAGCCACGATAGCTGTATTTAGAAGGTTGCAGAACAAAAGCATGAACATTTAGTTTAATCATCATTTATGGAATGTGCTTAAATGCAAAGAGAATTAAACTGAACGCAGCAGGCGACCTTAGCAGGATGACGGCCCCACGGCTCAGCAGCACCGATAGGCAGGATATATTATAGCCTCAACAGTGTGTGTTCTGGATGGAATCCCTTTTTATGCTAAATGTTTGGTGGTGCTGGAGGCTCTAAAACCCCTCTGAACTTTACTCTGTTTTTACTATTATTGTTGAATAATCTCTGATCACCTTCCTTTTTATAAACCATCAGAAACGTCATGCATTTTCTACATTGAAATGTTTATTGGAATCTTACATAATTACTCATCTCTCCCCTTTACAGCGTAGTGTAAACATCAACATGTCTGATTGTGCCAATGTTGACATATATATTTCTAACACACTAACAAACTTCAGCCAGGACCCACACCAAGCTGCAAAGTAACTTTTTACTTGCTTTCCTTTTAATCTCCCTTCACAGCTGCATGGTCTCTAGTGTGGAGATGCTGATGCACCTTCAGATTAGATTTCGTTTGGAAAGCTGATCCACACCCATCACAGCGGTACGGTCTCTCTCCAGTGTGGATCCTTTGATGTACCCTTAAATCATATTTCCTTTGAAAAGTTGCTTCACATTGGTCACAGCGACAGGGTCTCTCTCCAGTGTGGATCTTTTGATGTCTCGTTAAATTAGGTTTGGTTTTAAATGTTGCTTCACACTTGTCACAGCTGAATGGTCTCTCAGCAGTGTGAATCATCTGATGTAACCTTAAATCATATTTCCTTGGAAAACTTGCATCACACTGGTCACAGTGGAATGGTCTCTCTCCAGTGTGGCGCTGTAGGTGGGTCTTTAATCCATACGGGGTTTGTAAAGTTAATCCACACTGATCACAGCTGTATGGATTATGTTCAGCATGGAGCCGTTGATGTATCTTTAAGAGCGATATAGTTATAAAAGTATGTCCGCATTGGTCACAGCGGTACGGTCTCTCTCCAGTGTGGATCCGCAGATGCACAGTTAAGCCATATTTCCTTTGAAAAGCTGCTCCACACTTGTCACAGCTGTATGGTTTTTCTCCAGAGTGGCATTTTTCATGTGACTTTAAATCATACTTGTCTTTAAAACTCGCTCCACACTGGGCACAGGTGAATGGTCTCTCCCCAGTGTGGTTTTTTTCGTGCTTCTTTAGTTGATACTTGCATGTAAAACCTACCCCACACTGGTCACAACGGAACGGTCTCTCCGTGGTGTGACTCCATTGATGTCTCTTTAAATAGCGTTTATGTAGAAAGGATGCTCCACATTGGTCACAGCTGTATTTCTTTTCCCCAGTCTGACCGTAAACCGTTTCTGCAGGCGGTGCAGTGAGGGGAACACCGGACTGTTGATGATCTTCATGCGTCTATAACAACAGATGGAAAGATATCAATGTTTGAAAAATAAATTATAAATAATAAATTATATATAATAGACACTCTAATCTCAAATGTTTAAAAAACTTTTTTTAAAACAAAGGGATAACTGATAACATCAGTTATCCCTTTATATGTTTTATCATTCTGACTCTTAAACACGAACCAAAACTATCCAAAGATAAACCAGAACAGCAAGATTGACCTTACACCCTGCACACTGTACTACCACCATTTGATCAGGAAAAATTATCAAATGCAGTTCTTACTCTGTGGTTTTCAAATGGTTCTAAAGTGTTTATTGAATCTTACAGCAGGAATGCTCTTTTTGGAATCCTCTCAACTCATCTCAAGTGAAAAAGAAATTGCCTCGAAGTCTAACTATACAACCAGTCTATATACTTGAACAGGTGAAATAACAAAAAGCAGAATGAAACCACTGTTATTAAAAAAAATGACATCATTCATATTATGAATATCCATATTATATTGGTATCAGAGGAATATTCATATATTATTCATAGTATTAAAACCGAAGAAATTCAGTACAGCCAGTCCTTAATGTAACTAGATCCCTGAGAATGTCCTTACTGTTGAAATGTTTTCAGCGAGGTGTGAGGTGCAAATAATATCTAATAATCATCTGCATATATCTATATTTAAGTTTAAAATGGCCTGTACTACAGAATCAAAGCCATTAAAGGTTTCATGAACTTGCTTTAAATCTACTGGTCTGTGTTCTTTTAGGGCTCTATGCTCCTCAACTTTGGTAGACATTAATGTCTGTCCCCACTTTAATGGTTCTACTGCATCATTGGAAAGAGAAGAGAAACGTTAAATAATTATCTTTCAGAAGAAAAGGCGTTTCCTCCACTGGTTGAGGTTGATGAAAAAGAATCTTCAAGTATTTCTCCTTTTCCACCACCGTCACAAACCTTGG